TCTATCTTTGTTGTTTTGCTCTTTCACTGTGACTTTAAAAAGCAACGTTCAACATTTTAAATTTCTACTTGTGCAGATTTCTGTCCAGGTGGAGCGATGAGAGAGAAAATTATGAACAGTCACAGAAAATGACAAAAGTAGAAAATATTCCTGCAAAACACAAAACGATCAAAGCAACAACATAAATAAATCAAAAGTGAGAATCAACAACGATCATCCCTGATTATGATTCATAAAAATTATAAATCAACGGAGCTGCTGTTCCGCTCAGTGACATCACATCTGAACACAAACATAGAGAGGAGGAGAAAAAGAGAGGGGGAGGAGATGAAGAGGAGAAAACTAAGATGAAGAGGAGATGAAGATGAATAAGAGATAAAGAGGAGTGGAGGAGGAAAGTCGGAGAGGAGACGGAACAGGAGGAGATAAAGATGAAGAGTAGAGGAGGAGGAGGAGGATTATCGATCATCACTTCCTGTCAGACCTGATCGTTAACGTGAACTGTCCATGTGACCTGTTGGGATCCGTGTGTGGAGACAGCGTAATAATACTCAGTGTTACTGGTTGACATGGTAACAACAGCTGCTCGTCTGGATCTGTAGCTACAAACCACTCACCCCACCTCCCATCACTCATCTCACTTTTCACCATCGCTCGTCCCCGTTCGTAGTATTTTCTGTAACTAAGCAACCAACTGCAGAGAAGACAATCCATCGTCTCCCACAGAATTCATTCAATCTATGGCGGTCGCATTGGTAGACGCATTGGTAGACGTGAAGGCACAAACGCTCTCACGTTACTTGCAGATACGTGTATAACTGCAGCTGAAACTATGAGGTCAGACTGTCTGTGTAGACGCTTTATGGACGATAGTGCACGAGCAGGAACACACTGAATATCACTGCACACAGTGATACAATGCAGAAACAGAACAAAACACCAAGACATCTCTTATGTTGTTATGTGAAGAGTAAAATGAAATTAGAGTATGGTGAGCCCTCACAGTCCACATGATTAATGTGGAAACACTACAACCTACTTCCTGTTTACACCACATGACCAGTGTACATGAAAAGTCAGATACTGTTTCTGATACGGAACAAAAACACTAGTGTGAACAGAGGTCGTTAAAATAAACCGACCCCTTTACCTCCCGTCTAGTCTGGTCATGGATCTGGGCTCATGCTCGTCTCCTCAGTCTTTGACGCAGTGACTCAGAGTTTACATTTTAAAAGCTGCGATTCTTAGACACAAAAATCTGAACTTTATGAAAATACAAAGACAGGTTTACAAATTCAGTGTGCTGGCAAAAATATCTGCCTCTGAACAGAAGCATGGAAACCTTAAGACGACAAATCAATGGAATATAATCACACTTTAAAATGCAAGTTAAACCTGCTGCTTCTCTGCGAGTCCTCGGTCGCCTGGAGCTGAAACATCAATCAACACATTTCTTATTTTAAGGAAACCGTCTTACCGTTGTGAGCCTCTCCAGTGACAGTGCCCTCTCCAGCTGGGTTCCCATCCTGGTCTCGCCACTTCCAGTCAATTCCGCGGACGACCCGCGCCCCAGGAACAATGTACTTCATGACCTGGGAGCGGAAGAGTCGCCGCTGGCGACGAAGGTTGGCCTCCGCTTCCTTCACAGCTTTACCTGACAGATACACACAGAGAGAGAAATTAATGAAACCAGCTCGGTGACACTGAAGTAGTGCATTTGTTGACTACTTTCACTGGTTAGTTAACTCGTGTGGTTCTAGTGGGTATTTAGAGCAGCAGTGATAAATATCACGTGACCCATACTAAACGTGAAACTGATGATGGGGTTGTCTTTACCGAGCTGGTCCTCGCAGACAGCGGTGACGGTGCCGTACAGCTCGAGTCCAGACAGGGACAGGTAGTGAGTCTGACCGCTGGCGTTCTTCCCCATTTGTTTGATCCTGATGTGTCTCCAGCCCTGCTTCTCCTCTTTGGATGGGTCCAGAGGCCACGTGGCCGTCGACCTGTAGAAATACATCACCAATCAACGGATGCAGATAATCTCTGGGTTGTGTATTGCCTTCGAGTCAGAACACATTTTCTGTAAATATGAGCTGTGTGAAAATTGGTCCACATGGCCTCCTAGTGCTTTGTCACATCTCTGCAACAATAAAACAAACATGGGATTCATTCACTGAAACAAGGAGTCGTACCCGGGTTCGTTGAGGCTGCAGTCATCTACATGAGTGTAGAGCGTTGTCCAGTTCTGACCGTCCTTCGACACCTGAAACACCCAGTTCCTCAACGCAGAGCGGCCATAACCCCTGAAGGAGGAGAAAGTTAAACGTTTTATCTACCTGTCGTGTCTCAGGGTGTACGTTTGTTTTATTTACCTGTCGTGTCTCAGGGTGTACGTTTGTTTCATTGACCTGTCGTGTCTCAGGGTGTATGTTTGTTTTATCTACCTGGCGTGTCTCAGGGTGTACGTTTGTTTTATTGACCTGTCGTGTCTCAGGGTGTACGTTTGTTTTATT